AAGGAAGGAAGGAAGGAAGGAAGGAAGGAAGGAAGGAAGGAAGGAAGGAAGGAAGGAAGGGAGGGGAAAAAACCAGTATCTACTGTTGATATAATTGATTCCCAAAATTCATGACTATTGCATATTATATCAAAAATTTACATCCAAAATAAAAATGGGTAACATCACACAAGTCATCATCAAGAAAGAGTTTCACAGTGACCAAGGGATTAAATCATCACCGACATCAGCAATTCCTTCAAAAGGGTTGATGCCGACTACCAGGACAACATTAATTTTTCTGACGTAAGATGGCTAAGTTCCAGCCAAATGTTATAAAGACTTTATGATTTACAATGTTGTCAACTTGCTTGTGGTATCAAAAACAAAATTTATGCCACAATTTGCCAGTGAAAGCTGGCTTAGAGATATAGTGTTTTTCATAGATTCAACTACTCATTTAAAGGAATTAAAAATTCATCTTTCAGGTGAAAACCAACTTATCAAAACAATATTTCCAATCTTAACAGTATGATGAAACTGAAATTATGGTAAACTCAAATTAAGGAAGATAGCTTCATGCATTTTGACATGTTTGCTAAACATAATCCTGTGAACAGCGAAATTATGGCGCCTTGGCTGTCAATCTGAATCAATAATTTGAAACAGATTTTAAGTTTTTCAGGAAAATATTTTGCTATATTTTTTACTCCATCTTTACTTGACATAATTATGACACCTGCCAGTTTTCAAACAATAAATGGAGCTTCAGTCTGATATTTTAACTTGAGAAGATGTTATTCATATTTCTTTGCTTGACATTTACAAGCTCTATCTCCCAGAAACAAACGTTCCTCGCTCCACAATCACAATTCTCGTTGTTGACTTCCGGTCTGGGCCCGAGCGTAGAGCAGGTCACAGGCGGCAGCTCAGCACCCAACCTCAGAAAACCGAGAGAAAGAGGGACTCCCAGGAGCTTTAACTCAGGCAGCATCCCAGGTAAAAATGAATCACCTGTGATGTCTGCTGTTGGAAGTTCTAATCCAGATGCTGGCCTCCGAACTTACACTACTCAGACCTTTGAAGGGCCACTGACAAGAACATCAAACAGCTAGAGATTGACATCACTAATTTGAAGAAATCCCTCGTTTCACTGTCTGAAGACACCTCCTAAAATCGCAAAGATCCTTATTGGACTTGATTTACTCTATTACAATAGAAAAGGCTGTGTACAGCTCTTGACTGTGTACAGCCCTTAAAGAAGAAGGTTGCCTTTACATAGACAAGACAAGGAGGGTTAAAGAGAGCATGCATGAAACAGGTAGTGAAGGCACTAAGAAAAATCAGAGAGAGAAAGAGACAGATGAAGGCTGGTACAAGAATTGGTTTTCAGCCTCTCCAAGATTGTCAACCCTATTTCCTCCCATCTTGGGACCATTATTTGGGTTCTTTTTGCTTTTTTCTGCTGGTCCCTGGCTCTCAAATAGACGGACTAACTCTGTGATACAACAGATAAATAATTTGGTAGCAAAACCTACTCAGATACATTATCATTAGTTAGCTATGGAGGACCACGAGACTCAAGATGAGGTTGTTACTTTATACAGGGTGTTTCCAAAACCTATCTCCACCCAACCTAAAAGAGGAGACTTCTGCCCCTAGACCAAGCAGAGAGGGGCCTC